ATTTTGGATTCTGAACACGAAAATCTTAAGGATTTTCATAAAGAAATAACGTCCAAAATAAAAACTTTCCAAGCTGACCCCGGACAGGGGCTCTGCCCCTTGGACCCCGCCAGGGGCTGCCGCCCCTTGGACCCCGCTACCTGGGGGCTGCCACCCCGGACCCCGCAGTGAATTTGTAATATCGTTGAACAAGCGCGCACTCCGCGCCTCCTAACTCGTTTGACAACATCTATTTAAATTCTTGTCCGATCTAAGTAAATTCAATTATACAAAATAAACTGATGACACTAAAATCACCAACAATGTATGTCGTGATCACAGTGAACACAGTCCCTTCCTCATTATCCAATCGCATGGTTAGTGGCGTGGTCACGACCAAGGAGAGGTAAGGCAATCTTTTTTACTCTTTGAACTGTCACTACTACAAATATGAGCAAATGGTCTGCCACATTTAAATCGATCGCATAAAAAACCGATGCAATTGACTCTTTTTTCACCAACCGCTTTGCATTTGAATCCGTTATTTGTAATAACTGATTCAAATAGTATTTGAATCAGTTATTTGTAATAACCGATTCAAAATATCATACCCAAAAATGGCGCCAGTTCTGGGTATGAGTTCTTGAATCAGTTGTTCAACCAATTCAAAAAGTGTTTGCACCAATTGCATCGTTACCTTTTGCATCAGTTTACAACTGATTTAAAAGATTAAAAACAACCGATTTAAAAAATCCTAATTTGTTATCCTTAAGAGTCCTTCAAAACTTGTTAGACGATCACCAACACATATGAAAGCTCTATGTGATATAATTGTTTCTTAGGGCAGTTAACTAACTATTCCTTCCGTTTTTGAAAAGAGTTTCACTTGTGACCAAGTGACAAAATAAGAAAGTGTTAAATTGTAATTGACTTCTAATTTTGCGCTTGATGTGATTGATATTAAAGAAAAAAATATGATGTGATAGGTAGAATAAGACAAAGTAGAGGTAAAAGAGATTTTCTGATAAAAAGTGGAAATATTTTGTTGAAAGTGAAAAAATAAAAGAATAAGTGTTTTTTTTTAAAATGGAGTAGGTTTTAGTTACTTGGAATGATTAAGGGAGTTAATTGTGAGGTTGGGATCAATTGTAAAGTGATGTTTGGTTGAGTGTTCGTTGGGTTCATCAGTCACATCATTTATTAAGCCATGTGCAAGCCTGCAACAAGTATGGAATACAATATACTATTGGCATATTCGTAGAAAGTAATTTAAAAAATTTAAATGAAAAATTTAAAAAAAAATAAAAAAAATGAAAATTCATCAAAAATAATCTCAACTTTCATTTTGTTGCCTAAAATGGGCATTTCCGTTAACCCTCCGTTAGAAACTTAACGGCGACCCAAAACTGATAAATTTCAGTAAAGTTGGGATTATTATGCATCACAGTGAAAGGTGGGATTATTTTTGAAAGACCGGGTAAAGTTGAGATTATTTTGGATAATTTTTCCAAAAAAAAATGAGAACTTAAATATAAAATGGACCCTATCTAGTATGATCACATACATAGGGAAACCATGCTACTCCAGAGACGAGAAAGCATTCTATAAAAAAAAATTACTCCCTCCGTCCTATATTGATCTTTCCACTTTGACTTTAAGTCATTTTTAAGGAATGGATAAATATGCATTTGACTTTCAAAAATATCCCTCCTTTCCAAGGGCAGTGATTGAGGAGAGGGAGTGCACCATGGAGGCGAAGAAATCTCCTAGGTTGTCGGCAAAGGTCATCACCGACAGATCTGGGTGCACAAACCACATACCTCTTGCGCGCCTGGTTGTCAGCAAAGTTTAAGACCGGAGTACATCTGGTTGTGGTCGGCGTTTCGGCGATGATGAAAAATTGCCCCTTGGTATCGGCAAGTGTGTGATAAATCGCCGATATCGCCCCTTGGCATCGGCGATGGTGAAAAATCGTAGATCTTAGATCTATGATTTTGAGAAGGAGGGGAAGAAAGAAGGAAAGGGAAGAGAGACAGAGAGGATTAAATCTATAGAGAAAGATGGAGAAAGTGAGAGGAAGGAGAGATGGAGATAGAGGGGAGAGGGGAGGGAGATGGATCGGATGAAGGGGAAGAAGGCAGAGACAAAGACAGAGATGGAAGACAGAGACGGAAGACAGAGATGAAAGACGGATGACAACAATTGAGAGAGAGGTTAAGGATAATATAGTTTATTTACATTCTTTTTTAAGAAATGAGAAGATAGTTTTAGAACGGAAAAAAAGGAGAAGTGGGGAGATCACTTTTTTTGACCTTTGAAAAGAAGCTTTTTGTCAAAAAAAGAATAAGGATAAAAATGAATAAGGATATTTTTTGGACAGAGGCCCAAGAAATTCAAAATTTTAAAATTAAATCCTCTTTTTTTTATAATAAAAAATTACCTTTTTGTAACGTTAAAAAATTATACTTTTTTGGACCTTTGAAAAGAACCTTATTACATTTTCTTTTTATCTATAAGAGTATTTTTTTCTCCTTTTATTTTTTCATTACTTTTTTCTATTCTAGTTTTCATTTATTTTATTTTTCTATTCCTCATTTTCTTTATTAAATGACTCAAAAAGTTTTTTTTAATTTATAAAAAAATGAAAATATTTTAGTCAAACACATAAAGATATATAAATTTTTTTCAATTCATTTATTTTTTTTTATTTCAAACACAAAAAATAGTTGGAGGGAGTGCATGAACAATGTTTTGAAACCATTGAGATTTTAGAAATAAATTTTGAAAAAAATAAAATATTAATGCCTATTTTTTTAACCATAAGAGGCACTGAACCTATTTTGCCTATTTTCTTATTAAAATGTTTACTTCAAAATGATTTATGAAGTATTTAATATTCACCATCGCGCAAAAAGATTTACATTTTCTATTTTTCTCCATCCAAATTTTGTTTTTGATAATACTGGGAACTGGGAAATCAAAAAAATTACACCGTAACAATTTTCTTAAACGATGTAAAAGTCAAATAAGTGAAGTTTTAATGGCACTGAAAGAGTAATACTCATTTAACTGCCATCTCAAAAAAAATATTCCCTACTCCAAATGAATTACACTTTATACAAAATGAAGTAAAATTCCAAAAATTTTTCAATTTTTTATTAAAAGATTCGTACAAAAATAAAAATAAAGATTACACATTTAAAAAATATAAAAAAAATTAAAAAATAAAAAGTGATAAAGATTATTTCATTTTATCAAATAATAAATAGAAACATACAAACAAAAAAATTCTTTTAAATAGTGAAAAGGGTAAATCATTTTGGCGAGAGAGTGAGTATTTCCCCTCGAGCCAATAAAAAGTGTCAATTATTCGAAATAGAATCCGTTAGATGACGCATTATAACATTATATTCTCTCAACATTAAAGAAAAAAGAACATTCTCGAGTACTCTACGACAAATTAGAATAAAACAAAACTACTCCTTAGTCTTTAGTAGCAAAGAAGATACGAGTTTTGATATCGGATATTTGGTGAAGTTAAAATAGATTTCAAACTTGATATTTCCCTATATCATAAATTTTCAAAATGGATGATATCTTTCAAATTTGTGAGAGATATCAATATAGAGGTTTGATATTTCTTCTAACTGTCGATCATTCTCTGTCACCACCAACCACCCCTTGCCAGTCAACTCGATTCATCACTAATTAAATCATTATTTTAAATATCTATTCAAACAATTCATTTCGAATTTCAAAAATCATATCATTTCTTCGAGACTTTATAACTCATATCTTATCATTTCTCTCAAACTCAGGCTATTCCAAAAAAATCAGACCGGAGTGAAACAGAGAATCTATCATGTGAGTAAATACTCCCTCCGTTCCTTTAAACTCTTCCACTTTTGACTTTTGGCAAAAATAAGGAAAATGTAATTTTGGTTGACTTTCCAATTTTGCCCATGATGTGATGGGTAAAAGTAAGATATGATAGTTTGGTTATTAGTGAAAAAATATGATGTGATAGGTAGGGTATGAAAAAGTAAGGGTAAAGTGGTTTTTAATAGAAAGTGGAAGTGTTTTAGGGAATTCAAAAAAAACGAAAGAGGAAGGGTTTTGTGGAACGGAGGGAGTATAATACTAGTATAAGGGGTTAATAGATGGGCACCCCTGTGGTTTACAAAAAGGGCGTCAAAACCCCCCTGTTTTTAAAAGTTATTTGTAAAGTCCCTGTGGTTTCTAAATAGAGCACATATGCCCCCTTACTTATTTTTAAAGCAAAAATGACATTTATGCCCTTTGTTTTCCCCGATCTTGAAATTTTTTCGATTTTAATTTTCTTTATTATACAAATATATAAAATAAAATATATGCTTCCCATCTCAAATTAAAAATTTTCATAATCTACTTTTGAAAACAAAATATTTTTTGGAGAATGTTACAAAAAATGAAAAATAAAATATTATGTATAAAGTAAAAAGTAATAACAGTTAAAAAAAGTAATGAAAAGAAATAAAAATAGTCTTTTTCTTTCTTTTCATTACTTTTTTTAACTGTTATTACTTTTAACATAATATTTTAAAAATAATTACTTTTTTACTGAAATAAAAAAAGTAATGAAAATGAAATAATGATTTCATTTTTTTGTACATAATATTTTATTTTTCATTTTTTTGTAACATTCTCCAAAAAATATTTTGTTTTCAAAAGTACATTATGAAAAATTCTAATTTGTGATGGGAAGCATATATTTTATTTTATATATTTGTATAATAAAGAAAATTAAAATCGAAAAAATTCAAGATCGGGAAAAACAAAGGGCATAAATGTCATTTTTGCTTTAAAAATACGTAAGGAGGGCATGTGTGCTCTATTTAGAAACCACAAGGAATTTACAAATAACTTTTGAAAACAGAGGAGGTTTTGACACTTTTTTTGTGAACCATAGGGGGTGCCCATAGCCATGCTATTAACCCCTCGTATAAGGGAAGGGGTGATTGAAGAAATTATGCAAAACTGACCAGAAATGGAAGAGTCTCCTTCTCCTTCTTGTGGTTGGGGGAGGGCGGAACTGACGAACTCTAAGGACACTTTGTGGCCGAGGAAATCGGAGAGATCGTCGACAAAGGAGGCGTTGAAGTCGTTCAAGTCCAACACATTCTTCTTCATCAGAACCGCCGTCCCTTTTATCTTCTTCTTCTTCTTCTCCTCCTCCTCCGCCGCCGTCTTCAACGCATCGACGACCAGTTTTCCGAGCAACATTTTCTTTTCTTTTTTTTTTTGAACAGAAATGTGAAAACCGGCCAGTAGTTGTTGTTCTAATCAAGATTTAATTCGATTGGATCTGTCTCTTTCTGCTCTCTTTAATATAATGGTGATGGGAGGGAGGGAGGGATAAGAGAGGAGGAGGAGGAATAAATTGAATGACGCAACCCCCTTTTGTGTATAGAGTTGGTTGGACGAGGGAGACGGCTTATTTATAGGTGTGTCCCCATTTCTCATCATTATTCTACGCGGAATCATTTAAGAGGTCTTCTTTTGTTTCTTCTTCGGCCATATATACAACACTAACCAATCACATTCTTCCAAATAAATTTTGATCTGATCTGATTTTATTTTTGAAATACGTTTTGATCTTCTGTGGTCTGATTTGATTTGAATCTAGTTATATTTAAAATCATTTCTAAATTAATTTAATTTGAATATAATTATATTTAAAATTATTTTTTATCTGATTTTGGTATAACTCTAGTAGATGGCCTACTAGGCGCGTTTTGGGTTCTCTGCCTCTCAAAGGTAAATTCGGCTTACACTTTACGCTTCCACCCGACTTTTCCTTTATTTTCCCCTCAAAAGCCACAACCTATGACTCTATCACAATTCACAACTTCTCCCAATACATGACATGGGTCATCTTATAATAACATCCAAAATTTTATAAAATAAATAGTATTCTCCTCGTCCTAAAACTATCTTCTCATTTGTATTTACGAGGTTTGATTAACTTTATTTTTAATTTAATTTATTTGATTTTAGGTGTAAAATTAAAAATTAAAATTTATATATTTAAAAAGAGTAAATTCCATAATTAAAATTTATATACTCCGTATTTAAAAAGAGTAAATTCCATTATTTGATTGTAGATATTATATATTGATACAAAAATAGTTTTATTAAATTTATAGTATAAAATATTTTTAAAATATTATTTTATCTAATTAATATACAATGCGTACATTTTTGTTTTAATTTTTAGATTCTACGTGCATTTTTACTTAATTAAAGTTTAAAAGTTGAAAAATGTTGATTGAAAAAATCAAAACTAGATAAATACTCCGGGACGGGGTAGTAATAAACAATGGAAGAGAAGGAGATGAAAAAGGATTGCATGAGCACCAAGGTTTGAAACTCGGGAAGAACAAGAATTACTTCACGAGTCTCATTTTAAGTTTTCTATTTTTATTTCTAATATTTAACTGATAAAGTTATTTAGATTTTTTAGAAATGAAATAAAATCTCAATATTTAAAAACTAAATCAAAAGTTCTACAAAACAAGAAGTGACATGACTATAATATTTTTTTCAAATGAGTAACGAAAATGAATAAAAAATCTTATTAAAATTTAACCATGTGAATAGTTAAAGATAACTTAATTCACCAAGGTTTCCATGACATTGGGAACCAATATCATGGGATGACCCGGGGGCACTCCGGTACCCCGTTCGTAAAATTAACAGTTTCTACCCTCCCTAACCCCCCGGTAAACCCCCCCACCCCGACCCGACCCGAACACACACCCCCACCCCCTTCAATTGCACCCCACAAGTTGATTTTTACTTTGGAGTCCAATGTCATGGTAACTTTGCCCAACTCAATATGAGAGATATAGAGTATTTAGTTATGTCTGTTACTCCGTATGATCGAAACCTTGTTACTATGACCTAGACCTGATCAAAGTGCGGGTTGGGCCGGGCCGAAACACTACTTTATGAAAATTTTCTAGGCCTGAGCCCGGCCCGCATGATTACCCGCGAGCTTCGGGCCGGGCCGGCCCGATCGACAAAAACTTTTAAATAATTTAAAAATATTTTTTTTTAAAAAGTAACAAGTTAATATATTAGATATTTGATACTATTATGAGTAAATGAAAGAAAAATTGATATATAAATATATTTTGTTTGATATTGCTACTATGTATGGAGTACAAATGTGTGATACGTTGCAAACAATACGGAGTAGTAAAGATGTATTCATTTTATTATATATACCTATAGTTTATTTTTTCTCTCCATAGAAGTATGTACGTGTGTTTATAATAATTTGAAATAGATTTGTTTATTATTATTATTAATGTTGTTATTGTTATTTTATTATAATTATATTAATAATAAATATTTAATTTATTTGGGCTGGGCCGGCCTGTGGGCTTGAGCATAAACTCGAGCCCGGCCCTAACATATTCGGGCCGCCATTTATAAGGCCCAAGCCCGGCCTGTACCCTAAAATGTCAAGCTCAAGCCCGCTATTTTGCGGGCAGGCTTTTGCGGGCGGGCCGGATACCCAGACCCATGATTGGGTCTACTATGACCGTTTAGAGTCTTAGTGTGAGTAAACCTCCTACCTAGATAGGCTTGAGTTTCGCTCATATAGTCACATAACGCGGATGCTTCATGCCTAAAAAGTTAATCCCCACTTACAAATAAGCTTTGTTTGTTAGGTTGTAAAAATAGAGTTGATGAGTGTGGGAAAAATTAAAAAAAGATGAAAAAAAATTAGAAAGACTTAAAAAATTAGAAAGAGTTACAAAGAATTAGAAGGTGTTAGAAAAATTAAAAAGAGCTGGAAGAAAATGAAAAATTGTAAAAGAATTACAAAAAACTAGAATGTGTTAGAAAAATTAGAAGGAATTAGAAGAAAATAAAAAAAATTAGAAAAACTAAAAAGAATTAAAATGTACTCCGTATTTGAAGTTAACAGTAAGCCCGAAAGAAAACATAAAAGAATAGAGTCTTAGCCATACAACAAGTTACTACTCTTAGCATTTTATTAACAATAATTTGTAAAATTTAGATGTTTCGGGTTTCTTTTTGAATGCTACTACTACTCCCTCCATCCCGCAAAAAGTTCTCCTTTTGTTTTTTTTCATCCCAAAAAAATTTCCCATTTGTTATTAAAAGTCCATTATACCCCTCTATCCCAAACCCTAACAAAACTAACCTAACTTTTAGACAATAAAACTAATATTACTTCTGGTAGTATTGGTTAAGATAGTGTTTCATTATTAGTCAGCTTCCTAATCCTATTTGTAGTAGATGTTGTATGTTAGTTAGTTTCCATTCCCTATTCCTAGTTGTGTTAGGAATCTCTTCTATATATACTTTATCATGTATTCCATAATTAAAAGAGCAATATTATTAATCCAATATTCCAACATGGTATCAGAGCAAGTTTTGAATTCTTGAGACCTCAAACACGCTTCTTCTCCTCCTGGTGGGCATACACAATTCAATGCCTACCGGCGGGATATTGTAATTTTAGATTTTCTTTTATTGTTCTCCCTCACTAAAGAATATCATGAACTCCTTCAATGAAAAACATTGTTGTCGAGGAATCTCGCCCAACCATCAATCTTGAAGAAGTTGTCCGAGAAGGGTTGTTCTACAGAGACAGACAACTCTTTCCTTAGCAGGCAATAAAAAAAGTCGGCGTTCAGGGTGTTCGAAAAGAATGGTGTTCCCCCTGTTTGTTCGAATATGGTGAAGGTTCGAAAAGAATGGTGTTTCTTTACTCGACTGATTATTCGGCGGATTCGAAAAGCTTGGCGTCTCCGTTGAAGAAAAAAACTGAAGTGTCTAGATGACACTTGGACAAAAATGGCAGCGGCCTCCTCAAGATTTGTTGCTTTGTTCAATCTTTTGATGTCCAAGCTGTGCATGTTGAACTCCCATGCTCCAGCTTGAGGGCGGTGTTGGCGACAGAAGAAGGAAGCTTGAGATTCAGTTTAGTATCTTTCCTAGTTTGCTTAGTTCTTGTTATAGTAGGAATAGAAATATGGTAGGAATAAAAGTTACTTATATGCTTTACTCTCTTCCTATATAAAGAGGGTTAGACCTTTGTATTCAAAAAGCCAATTCAATATGCAGAGAATTTTCTCCCAAATATTTCGACATGGTATCAAAATCTCAAACCCCAAATCTTTTTTCCTTCACCAATTCTTAATCCACTTTTTTCTCTCTCAAATCACTCATTCTAATCATCAATCTTTCTTCTCTTTTTCTTTTGTTACCCAAAATATTCCAAAAAAAACAACACAAAAGCAAAGCCAAGAGAGGAAGTAGTGAAAGAGGAAAGAATACCTCTACAACCCTTTAAGAAAGAAATAGGGCATTGCCCGGATCCAAGAAAAAAGACAAAGAATGTCAAGGATTTTCAGTCAAACAGGCACCTCCAGTAGCCTTCTCTATTCTTTTTCGACGTCAACAGCTACAAGCGCACGTCAACCTTCTCTCCTCTTCTTCGACGCCAGCAACTACTAACCCACGTCAATCTTTTTTCTTCTTCATCGACGTCAGCAGCTACCAACGCACGTCAATTTCTCTCTTCTCCAACGACGTTAGCAGCTACCAGTGCACGTCATACTTCTCTCTTCTCCAACGACGTCAGCAGCCACCGGCGCACGTCAGACTTGTCTCTTCTCCAACGACGTGAGCAGCCACTGGCGCATGTCAAACTTCTCTCTTCTCAAAGTTTCCAGTTTCCAGTTTCCAGCTAGTGTCCAAGCTTTCTCTTGCTTCAGCCAGAGTTCAGCTTGAGGGGGGATGTTAGACAATAAAACTAATATTACTTCTGGTAGTATTGGTTATGGTAGTGTTTCATTATTAGTCAGCTTCCTAATCCTATTTGTAGTAGATGTTGTATGTTAGTTAGTTTCCATTCTCTATTCCTAGTTGTGTTAGGAATCTCT